GCAGTCGATCCTGGGAGCAGAGGCGGGAGGGGCCGTCGGCAGGAGCGGGAGTCCAGCCATCCCCACCCCCCCCACCTGACTGGCCGGACACCGCCCAGCTGTCCAAGCCAGCACCCCCTATCCTCAGGGAAAGGGAGGCCACCCCCGTCCTGTCCCACCCGCTGCCCTCAGCCCCAACACCTACATGCCCTTGTACATGGCTGTCCCATGCTGGTTCTGCAGCCGCGTCTTGGCCAAGTCGATGGGGAACACACAGGTCACCCCCACGAGTCCTGCCACGCCTCCATTGATGAGTTTCGCGGTGATACTAGGTGGGGAGGAGGGGGGCTGCAGAGCACCCTGGGAGAGCCCAGGAGCAGAGGGGGAGGGCAGCGTCGGGCCTGACCCACGGAGCAGACGCCCCTCAGGGCTCCAGCTGGGCCTCCTTCCCAGGTTCCCGTTTTTTGGGGGTGGGTGCGCAGGCAGGGAGCTGGGGCGCCTGGCCACCGCCTCCAGGAGGGCTGCACTCACAGGCGTACGTCCTGCCCACACTCACTCAGCCTGTCCTCCCGCCCTGGCGTCCCTGCCCTTGGAGCCTCCTGTGAGGGCTTGAACCCGGCTGTGCCGTGGATTCACAGCAGCCTCACTCTGAGCCTGCATTTTCCCGAGTAAAGCTCGCGGCCAGGGTTTGTGTGGGGCTTAAACACCTCCACGTGGGCAGCTGCAGCTCCTGTATCTGCCAGCGAGAGTTCTGTGTGCCAGGTGGCCGGGGCGCAGGTGCTGAGGATGTCCAGCCAGCGGTAAGGAAAAGCCATGGCGGGGCCAGCGGGCGGCATGCTAGTTAAGGGGCTAGAATCTCACAGGGCTGACCATACTTTGAGTCCCGGACCTGGCGGCTTGCTTTTTCACTCCCCCCCCCTCTCTTTCTCTCTGGTGAACAAGTGTGCCCTGTAGCAAGTTAGAAAATAATAACAATTGGGACCAGCAGTTGGCATAATGGCTATGTCGCTGGACTCCCATGTAATTGACCGGACTTCGAGTCCCAGACCCTATGGCTTAAACTCACGCTGGGAGTATGTGCGTGCATGCCCAAGATCCCGAGAGGAGAATGGAGGAGAAGGGATTGTGGCGTGGCCATCCCCCCTGGGGGTTAATTTCTCGCTTTCTGTCTCTCTGTGTCTCTCTGTCTTTCTGGTGAGCACACACGCCCTATAGCAAAACCCTCTCCAAAAAAAAAGAAAAAGAAAAAGAAATAACGATTAATCAAATTAAACAAGTTTTTAAGAGAGACCTTTCTTTCTTTCTTTCTTTCTTTTTTTTTTTTTTTTTTTGCTATAGGGCATGTGCACTCGCCAGAGACAGAGAGACGGGGAGACAGAAAGTGAGAAATCACCACCCAGGGTGATGGCCACACCACCATCCCTTCTCCATTCTATGCTCAGGATTTCGGGCATGCATACATATGCTCCTGGAGTGAGTTTTAAACCACCAGGTCTAGGAATTGAACCACGGTTGACTATGTGGGAGTCCGGCAATGTGCCAATTTTTTTAAAAAAAGAATGACTTATTTAATTTAATTAATTTATTTATTTTTGATTTGAGAGAGAGAGAAAGTGAGAAAGTAAGCCACCAGGTCTGGGACTCAATCCGTGGTCAGCCATGTGGGAGTGTCCATCCAGCGCCTTAACCTACACGCCACCTGCTGATCCCAACCCAAACAATTTAAAAAAAAAAAAAAGTAAAAAACAAAACCATGCTTTAGGGGCCAAGAGGGGGCATGGCGGTTTAGGTGCTGGACTCCTGTGTGGCTGACTGCAGTTGGAGTCTCAGATCTGGCAACTTGAAGATCATGCTGGGTGTGACTGTGTGCGTGCACAAAATCCTGGCAGCACGGCCATTCCCTCCAGGGGTAACTTCTCCCTCTCCCTGTCACTGTCTCTTCTGTCTCTTTCAGGCAAGGACATGTGCACTATGGCAAAAAAAAAAATCAAAAGGAAAAACTCTGCATTAGACACTGGGGCCCCTCCATCTGATTGAGCATAGGACTTTTTCTTTCTTTTCTTTTTTTTTTTTTTTTTGAGAGGTTTTTGCTTTAGGGTGCATGCAGTCGCCAGTAAGACAGAGAGACAGAAAGCGAGAAATCACCCCCCAGGGGGGATGGCCATGCCGCAATCCCTTCTCCTCCATTCTCCTCTCGGGATCTTGGGCACGCACGCACACACACCCAGCGTGACTGGGACTCGAACCGCGGTCGGCTACATGGGAGTCCAGTGACATAGCCATTACACTAACTGCTGGTCCCCAACATAGGACTTTGGGAAGCTAAAAAATAAAGCTTTCTGGGCCAGCAGCTGACATAGTGGTTGGGGTACTGGACTCCCACATGGCTAACCCTGGTTCGGGTCCTGGACCTGGTGGCTGGCTTTCTCACCTTCTCTCTCTTTTACTCTGTCACAATCTGGCCAAATTAAAATAAACAAATAAATAAATAAAGTAAATAAAATAAGTCTTTTAAAAAAAGACATTTAACAAAACAAAAAGAAAGAAAATAAATAAAGCTTTCCCAGACATGGAGCCCGATTCGTTCTGTCTCTGGCCAGAGGCACAGCGAGCACAGCGCGGGCGGGCTGCCTGGGGCGGGGGGCCTGCCCCGGCCAGCTGGGCCAACAGGAAATTT